TGTTCCCAAAAGCTGAGGTATGAATAGCCCCCTGGATTCAGCTGGACAACCTGACTTCCCTTTTGTGGATAAATGAGTGAGCAGGAGGCTGCTGGATAGCTGTGAGTTCGGGTTATGGGACAACCAAATTTAGGTGCCAAAAGAGGGAGGATTTTGTAGAGCTTTCGAGTAGTAAGAAAGCATCAGTATTTTCAAAATTTTGTGTGCTGTTGTTTAAAAACAAACTATAGCACCCGCACAGAGGACCACTGACCAAGGATGTCAGCAGAGTTTAAGGCTGGACTTGACCTCTTAATACTTTCTTTTAGATCTGAGCCATCACCACCTTCTAAACTGTGTTTCTGAGTTTCCTTAGAATCATTCTTTCTTCTAAAAGCGGAATGAAAATTGCATTTACCTCTGGCCTTTTGCAAGTAATAGATATTTGCTGTTTTCATATTTTCAGATGGAAATACGTATCTTTAATCTTTTAATTGGAAAACTTTGTCCTGTCATATATGCACTTCAAAGGAGCCTACTTCACTTCAAATAATATATTATGATGAAAAGTATATTTCTGTGGCGTTACAAGAAGTTTTCAGATCGGTTATGACAAAGATCCCCTTCTGTGACTGTGCATAACAAGGCTGAATTCAGGTAAAATAGTCACTTCCACCTGACAATGCAAAAAGATAATGTTAGTCAAGACACAAAAATAAATTGCTTTGCTGTTTTAGAATATAGCTGTGAATGACATTCCTGAGCATCATGTTCTGCACTTTTAAGTATTTTCATGATAAAAGTAAGGTGTGTGTAATATAAGTAATGCTACATCAAATCAGTAAAGAACACACTGGTATTCAAAAGCCTTAATGATTGCCTACTGAGCCTGTGTTTAGCACAACTATTTTGTATTATGGTTTTGAGAAGTTATTCTGACTTAACCCTGTGGAAAACCTTTAACATTTATTTGAACAAAAGCTGAAATATGATGACATGTTCTGCTTTTTTGTCACTGTTAAAAACAGAAGTAGTGCTGAAGGTATTCTGGGTAGCACAGTGATAAAATTGTGATCCAAGCCTTTCATTTTGGTGCCTTGTTTACATCTCTATAAGTCCGTGGTTGAATGAAGTGCACTTTAATGTGAATTTTTTTTTTTTTTTGCCAGTAGACAGTCAGTATGTGAGTATGTACATGCATGCTTATATTTTATATATATAGATATATATATTTGGTGGTATAGATATACATACACACAAATATACTTAATTTGGGTGTAAACCAAATTGTGCTGCATTCTATTGATGTGTGACCTTGAAATCTCAATGTTTCCCTTTTTCTGTATCTCCAGCTGAGTATTCAGTGCTACCCAATATAGAATGGCACGTGACAGCTACTTGCTTAATTACCACTTTTGCAACTACCTCTTGATCAACATATATAAAACAGCTCAGTGATGGGTGTTGTAACTTCTTTTTGGCAAAGTCACAGAAGGTACTACAGCTAAGGCCTGATGTTGGTGCATTAAATTTTGGTCTTCCAAAAAGATGAAACCAAAAATAGCTGCCTCTTCCACAGCAGAAGAGGACAATGCTAAGCCCTGTTCTGCACAGTCACTCCTAACAGATGTTAGCAAACCTGGAAAGACCAGGCAGCTGAAGGCCTTCTTGAACTCTCTTGTCCAAGTTCTAGCTGGGAATGAACAGGTATGGTCTTGGTACTCCATGCTGATGAATACCTCTGGCTTTGTAAAAATAAATATGCAAACAAATATATGAATAAATTCCTAGAACCTGGATCTCTTCTGAAGGCTTTACAGCCTATTTCCAGAAGCATTACCTAGGGATCTCTGATACAAGCCAAACCCTAGTATCTTCTCCCCAAGGACATGAAAGTGTTCTTTCCTGAATGCTGTGCTCATGTCCTCAGCACAGTTCCTTTCCTCCCTGTTGCTGGTTCCTTGCCCCACACGTAGATGTTGTGAGAAGACTTCTAGTATAATTCTTATAGCCTTGAGATACCACTGTAGGTAATACCCCAGTATGAAAACTTTGGCTGAATGATAGCTGAGGAGATCAAGGAAAATGAGTCTATGTTGTCCATAAATATTTGAAGTAGTACAGTAGGAGGAAGACTTAGGGTTGCTTGAAATTTTCTTTTTTGTTTAAATGTCAGGATATCCTTATCAGCTAGTAGATACACTGTTGTTACTTGTCAAGAAAAATAACTCATCAGAATATATTAGGAGCAGTACTATGGCATCAGGAGGAATAAGGAGCTGACTGGGTTCTCTAGTCATCTTTGTCTCTGACCATACTTGGGTGAGGAGGTACATGATTTCTGGAACGGTGTTATTTTTTGCCCTTAAGTTCTAGCTTTCTCTCTTTAAAACAATAAGAAAAAAACAAACAAACAAAAAAAAAAAACCAACCCCAAGCTATTGCAAAGGCAGATTTTGGAATTTTTTTTTTTTGATCATTTGAGGCATCTGATGATTTGAATAATGTTTTATAATTTTCCAGAAAGTGAAGATGAGGTTTTTTTACTTAGTATGGTGATTATTTGTCTTTTACCGTGCGTATCTGAACATGCCTACAGGGTGTATTGGACAAGGAAAGTGTGATAAGGCAGTTCAGGACTAAGAGTGAGCACGTCTAGCAAAAAATAGCTGTGTCCTTCAGTTCTGCTTGTTCTGCTCTGTTTTTCTCTCTTCCAAGACAAGAGGCATGTCAACGACAACTGTTCTAAGACAGAAAATGCACAATAATGGTGCTGCTTATGTATGTTCATATTTAGTAGTTAGCCACAGGTTTAAACCAATTTATCTTTTTTTTCTGTAAGTTATCACATAAAAATGTTTACTCCAGGACACAAAACAATTATAATGCATGTATTTTACATATAGTTGAATTGCTGTAGTATAATGTTTCAAGTTTGGATTTATGTGTGTTGGGTTTTTTTGTTTGTTTGGGGTTTTTTGTTTTGTTTTCCCCCCACCCCCAATGTTGATTTTGTAAATTCCACTGTAGTTACTAGAATTGCAGGGTGACCAAACTTAAACCCTCAGTTACCTCTAAGGGATTCCCATTCATGTTGCTCTTTAGAGAATCTGAAGAAAACTGTTCCTCAGTGCAGGCCCCTAGGGAGTTCACTGGTTTGTGAGAGTACATGGCTCACTTAAGGTGGTGTTGGTTGGTTGGTTGGTTCGGGTTTTGGTGTTTTGTTGTTTTGGTTTCGTTTGGTTTTTTTGGTGGTTTGTTTATTTTCCACTTAGCAACGAACATCAGTACACTGTTGCAATGCAATCAGGAATAATTAAAATCCTCTGAGCAAATGCTAGACATACAGTATTAGTTTTGGTATGAAATAAAACAGTTCAGAGCTCAGTTCCTTCCTTCTACTTTTGTGAAGTCTTTGCCAGATATCTCCCTCTAGTGCTCATAAAAAACTCTAAAAAAACACCAAACCAGAAAGGGAGTGCTCAGAGTGCAGTAGGCCTGTTAAGAATCAAGAGGAGACTGGTTTGACCCATGCTACTTGCTTTTTCCTTATGGCTGCATCTCCATGCACTGAAGTTTTGGTACCTGTGCTGAAATGAAGCTTAGCTTATTTCCTGTGACCCCATATGAGTTCTGTGCCTTTTAATTGTCTGAATGTGCAGTTTCCTCCTCACTTATCAGGAATGCCTGTGAAAAATAGGTCCAGCTGGTCAGTGGTGGAACTTGGGAATGCTCATGATGGCTCTGTGTGCCGCATACCGAGCCTTCTCCCAGCAGGACACTGCCCCAGTGTGCAGAAGGCTTGTCTCACTTGTGTAGCAACCTCCCCTTTTTTCTACAGGGTGAAATTAAAGCTGCTTTATCTTGTCTATCTGTGGTACCCTGACACTCAGGTTATTGAGACTCTTTCAGGGTTCTAAATTTAATGGGAGTTTTCACTCAAACAGGCCTGAGGGACTGCTGAAGTTGGTCAAAGTGCAGGTGTTAAACCCATCTTTACTAGCTGTTACTGTTTTCCTGTTGTTGGCTCAATGTTCTCTGAGAAGCAGATGTATGGTAACTATATAAAGCAGAAAGTTGAACACATATAATTAACATGCCCTGTGTCTTATTAAACAGTCATAACAAACAATACTGCTAGCTGGTCCTGAATGTGAAGCCAGTCTGTAAAAGACAGTTTGGCACATAACCAGCTCCAAAAAAGGTTCTGTCTGTTACTTAAGGTAACAAACAACAAAAAAAAAAAAAGAACAAATAGTGAAATAAAAGAAAGGGAATTTACACACAGAAGCAGCTGTAAGTAGAGAGGCCAGTGATCTTAGTGTTCTGGTTTATCTCATCGCACCGCTTCTTCCTCTCCTCATCCTGGTCTTAGCTGAGATGAAGTGATATGGCATTGCATTCACACCTCCTTAAAGGTAGGGAGAAAGGCAGAATGAATTCATGCTTTTTACTGTTGCACTTAGAGCGATCCATTTTTATCCAAGTCTGTGGTAGCCAGGAAACAGTGTGTTTAAAATAAGAAGCTGTAAGAACTAAGAACAATTGGAAGGGAAGTGCAGTCATTGAAATGGAGGCCAACCCATTGAGAAATGTCTGGGTTATTTTATTTTTATTTTTCTTCCAGTAGCTGATGCTTTTATCTCATACCTTTTTTTTTTTTTCTTTTTAATTAATTCTCTTCCCTGCCTTGCTTGAGCCCTGGGGTTCTCTCTGTGGTTTTATTTAGTAGTACTGGTAAGGAAAAGTATGTGGGTGCTATTATATACCTCCACATACCACACCTCCCCCCATACTTGCACACTAGTAGCTACAGTGACCCAGGTACCTGTCCCTAGAGGGAGAAGGCAGAAAATTCTCCCTCACTGCAGCCATAGGTGTGCAGACAGGATTTTTTACCACAAGTCTGGAGAATACTGATACTGGGCAACAACCTGCCGAGATCAGGCTTGGGTTAATGAAAACAATGAAACCACCACTTACCTTCCAAATGGATTTCCATGGAAACAGCTAGACAGTAATAGTATTTGAACTTTTTTATTCAATAAAAGTTTGAGTTATAAATAATCTCCATTTGTTTCCTATTTACAGTTGTAAAATATTTTAGGATAGCCTACCCATCACCTGTCATTCAAAGTCTCTATAAATGTAATGAAAACGTAGTTGTCAAATAAAAAGTCTTATTTTCAGCCCACAAACCCCATTTCCACACACTCACAAAATAAAATCAAAGGAACGAAAAAGAGGAAAAGTAGGAGCCGGGAGGGTGGTGGTAGTGAGAGAAATACAGTACAGCAGGCAACAATGCAATATTTGCTACACAGTAGCAAAGTAAATGGGTAAAAAAATTTAGTCTGCTATGATGACAAGCTTTTCAGGACATTTGTTATAGACCAGTGTTGTCCAGTGCATTTCTGAAGGACGAGTTGAAATCCAAATTCATTTTCATTGTTTTCCTGCAATTCCAGGCAACGCTTGGATTTTCGGTTCTGGATTGGACCTCCCTTTAATGATGAGGAAAAAAAACAAATAAGTGTTTGGATTAAATATTATGAAGTTGTTCCGTTGCTACTGTGTGATAGTATATATTAGAGAACATTCCAATGTCTGTCTACTAAAGTCCACTGCTACTGTGAAAAATGTTTCAGTTGGAGACAAGATAAGCACTAGGTTGGACTGGAGCGAAGGTTCCCTTTGTCACATACTGGTTTAATCTCTGATGCAGTTTAGAATAGTCTAAATTGCCTGGTTATCATTTCAGCAAATGGGGTTTCTAGAACTGAGCTGTGTTTCTAGCCATGCGTTTTGACCATGAAGCCCAAAGCTTTCCTCTCTGCTTCTGTTACCTAGCTTAGTGGCTCTGCTGTACCTCTGGAACATAACAAAAAGGCAAAAGAAGACCAGTGCCTTGGCCAGAGGTGTCCTGGATATAGGATGAAATGCAAAAATTATTCTTAGAAATCTGAAATGAATTGTCTTTTGTGATTTTATGTTGCTAATCCTCAGTATTGACTCTCTCTTCAAATATCAGCTTGATGCTGTCATATTAAGGCCCTACCTTCATTGTTGAGTTCCAGCAAATCTTAAATCATTTGGGCTATCACACAGTTAACTATAGACCTAAATTACAATGAAATCATCATGGAATTGACATAAAATACATTTTTTTTTTCCTTTTAATTCTGGTTTCAGGTGGTTCTTTCACTCTCTCTCCTGTCTAATAAAGATAATAGATAACTTGTACACCTTAGTGTCTGGGAAGCTTCTTCCAAGATAAACAGAGTAATTCACACAGAAGTCTGAAAGTCTGACTTTCTCTAGAGTATCTTGGACTCGTGTAGTACAGAATTACTGACTTAATCTGCAAATCAAAGAATGGAGTGTACATCAGTACAGATTAGTACAGCTGAAGTATGGAAAGAGCAGCCACATTTAAATTACTTATTTGTACAATGGGGAAAAAAATAGTTGCTATAAAAAAAAATAACCACACCACCCAACCCCATACAGAAACCCCACCTCATCAGTTTTGTTCAAGTCTGTATTGTACCTTGCATTAGAAAGTCATAACTGTCATAGATTTCTATTATAATCACAATGATACTGGCATAAATCCCATAGAAATGCCGAGTTTACTTTTTCAGAGAAGCCTGTTTCTCAGACAAGGATAGCTCGTGCCATTCAGTACAGGTTCTGCTTTGTTCAGATGGATTGCTGGGGTCTCCTCTCCTCCTATCCTACCAATAATACTTAGCAAGTACTTTCTCTGAGAAGTGACTTCTAAAACCATTTTTTGGACCCGGCTAATGAAGTACAGAATTAGGTTTGGAAGCTCTAAGAGTAATCCATAAAATTCAAAACATGAAGCTCCCATAAATCCTCCTTGGTCGGCCTACATGCAGTCTAGATATGATTTTCACTGATTACTCGACTAGACAGACAGGCATACAGTACGCATTTTAATATACCTCCATAACAAAATGCTGAGTGAACTGTATTTTCCCACTGCTGTGTAACTATTATTGACATTCATATTAATAATGGTATTCAATTTGGGTGTCTGGTAGGAGCATAAACTCTACACTATCTATAAGCAATAAAACTGTTTGCAATACAAGAATTCTGAAGAAACTAGGATGGGAAGTTAGTTAAAGCTTTGTTATATGCTATTTGTTCCCTTATCCTAAACATGCACCCTACCCCCCAAGTTACTTTGGTCTTCTAAAGCTCACTGTGGTGAGATTATTTTTTTCTTTTTTTCCCAAATTAATTCAATGAGCTTTGAATTAGGTCCTCCAGATATAAAACTCGAAGGTAACAGATATTTTCTCATTGCCAAAAGAAACCATTGTGTTGGCTTGTTTTGGCTTTTTTCTTCTAGTGAAACATGGAGTTTCTATTCTTAATGAAAACTGTCGATGATGTTTTTTTTTCCTGCATAGCCTCAGTGTTGCATGGCACCCAGAGTCAGCTCCCTGGGTTTAAATTGGGAATTACAGTTTACCACAAGGGCTTCTGCCTAAACCCAAAATTGAGATCAACTTCCTTGTGCTTCCAACTGATGCTGGAGGTGCTTGTGTTGCTGTCGTTTAAGTTAACTAGTTCTGTATCTTCCATTTATCAGTTAGTCCTTGTCTCAGTTTTGATGTCTAAGACATCCTCAGCTCAGATCTTACACTAAGGAAGCAGGAGAAAGAAGTTGTCCCACTTTATCTTGTCAAAAAGCTAACCAGTTATGGGACCTTAGTTCAGCTCCATTTCTTGCCTGATTTTTCCACCTGGGATATGAATCTATGTATGGTACTTTTAGACCTCTCATGTCATTTCTAACTTACTAGCATAAGTGAAGGAACAGAAATAATTATCTCCATTTCACGTACAGCACAACAGCTAAACCAGAAGTGTTTCCCTGGTACACATCATCTTGCCCAAACTCTGTGAAATGAACTCTTGAGAACAGCTTTTATGCTTATGAAGAAGAAGGATCTAGGATGCTCAGGTCTAGCTGTCTTCAGCAGCTGGGCTGGGGCAAACACCTAGTTTGTTGGCTGCACTTTGTGAATCCCATTCTTTGGTGCCTACTTTTTCTTCCCAAGGACTGTGCATGGGGTCCAGTCACCTAACTTAGAGCTCTGTTACGTTGAGGGAGCCACAGCACTAAGGCTTACATACTGCCTTACTGACTTGGAATTTCTGCCAAACTCCTGTTTCAGTAGCCAAGGGTTTCTTTCACTTGAATGGGCCCAAATGCCTTCTATTCCTGTTGTGGATTTTGGGATAGAGGAAGGAGGATGTTCACAGTGGAGACAATGTTTTTCCTCTAGTCTAACTCTTGTAGAGCACATATAAGTGCTACAGTAAATGTATTAATGTGAAATACTTTAATAGAGGCAGCTACATAAACACAGTGTAAACTACTCCTAAGGAAAACCAAGCAAGCAATCAAAAAAAACATACAAAAAGCCCACTCTTCTCCTTCCCTTTTCCTGATGTGCCCTCATGCAAAATTCGGCTTCTATTTAACAGAAACAAGTGACTCAGGGAGATAAAAAGATGAAGCTCTTTTTGATGTGCTGCAAAGTACTCTACAATGGCTACTGAAAATAACCCTGCTGAGTACATTGGATCCACTGTATGGAACATAAGAGACACCAAAATTAAGTAGTGGCTAAAATGTGTGACCTGAGTGGTGTAGAGAGCAGAGATGGCTTCAGCAGGATGATCTTTTTCCCACAAAAGAGAAATGTAAAGGCTGAATTCCTGTTAGAACAACTTAGCACCTAAGAGATGTGCGGTCTGTGCAGAACCATGGCTTAATCCCACAGCGAGGACACAGTCTACACAGTTTTGGTTCCGTTCAGTCAGCATATAAATGCAAGAATTGCTCTGAAGTACAGGGAGATAGGTTTCTATAGTGCTTACTTAAAATTTCCTGTTGTTAGGCTAATTGTGTTCATTTTTTTCCCCCTTCATATGCGTAATGCAAACCTGCAACAGTGGTATTGGTCTGTTATCTCTGGGGTGATGACAGCGTACCTACTATATGTTCCAAAGCCTGAACTAGCAGGCTGTTTAATCATTAAAGCACATGAACTGAGTAACTCCACTGAAAGAAGCAAGCAAGCAAGCAGGCCTGGCGCACTGAAAGCTAATGCTACATTTTGCTACTCTGATTGGCTTGGCCTCCAAATTACAGTATTCCTGAATGGGTTCTGCAGTCTGTTGTCATTATTAGCATTTAGAACCCTGAAGCCAAATGCAGACAAAGGTGTTCTTTTAATTACTTTTTTTGTAAAACTTGTATAAAACTATGACAGTCATGTTTACCACTTGCTCAGCAAAATGGTTTATTGTAATACCACACTTGAGGCTAAGTGAAAGGCAAGTTGCCTATCTACCTGGTTCCCTTTCACCATTCTAAGACATCTACTTTCCAATTTAAAGGCAAAAAATTGATAGCCTAGGGTAATGTCTTTAATTATGATACATAAAATCTGTAGGCTGAAACAAGTTAAAGAGTAATTCTGCTCTGTTGAACAGAATTAGGATTAAGATCATTGATGATGAGAGGCAGCTCAATGGCAGTAGAAGTCTAAAGAGGATAAATAAATATCCAGGTCAACTCTTTTGTAAAAATAGACTGAGTGTGACAGCACTAAGCAGTTTCACTGAAAACTTGACGGGCTTTGCAATGCAAATTGAAGAAGCTGTGAGAAGCACAAATGTTCTCAACTCCTGCTGGTAGCCTTGGACACGTATAAAACTGAGTGATTCATAAGCATACTTCTAATGTTAACATTGTCTCAAAGCACGCATCCTGTTATGACCAATAGCTGTTGGCATGTGTCATAACACACACAGTGGGAAGCAATAGTTTTGACTTCCTTTAGAGTTACTGTACTTTCTGCATATCTGCCATATATAAGAGGTTTCCTTTCAAGTCTTTTGCTAAAGGAGAATTTATCCAATAATATGGCATCTAAGAATACCGTTTGATGTGCCTGTGATCCACTGCAGTACAAGGATGGTCCAAGGTGTGTGGTAGGCAGTCCCATGCATTAAGTCTGTCGCACATAAAAACCAACTTGCTCTTAGAAAGATAGAAAAAGCAGCATGCTGCAAGTATATACTTATATATTCTAGGTTAGAGCTGGAGTGCTAACACGCTGTGCACAGAGATTAGACAGGCTTTGCTGAACTGTTCTACGGTTTTTGTTTTGGTTTATTGGGGGGTGGTATATGCACAGTTCCCAAACCTCCCCCTTCCCATCTCTGTTCTGCAGGGCAGTGAGGTGGGATGGGTCCTCCTTGGAATATTGGTCCTTGCAGTACCAGGCCTATCTGAAAGCTGTCATAAAGCTTCTCTAATGTCTAGAAGGCCTCCTATCCAGAGGGCTACAAATGGGACGGAGCATTGATACAGCTTTCTTTGCAAATACCAGAGAGGTTAAATACAACTTTTTCTGTAAAGAAATACGTGCAGTGTACACACACCATGTAACTT